CAAAATAAACCTTCATTTCGGTGCAATATTGAAATTAGCTTGAATTCTTCATAACCTCTGAATAGTGGGTGACGGGTCACGGGTTGTCTAGTTTACTCTAATCCTGCCTAAAAGAATTTCAAGTGCCGCGGCTATTGAGGATTCCCTTTTGTTTGTTAAACATTTTTAAACAAGAATCTCGTTAGATGTTGAAAAGAGTCCTTCTATAGGTTAAAAGAAGCCAGGGAACAAAACCTAATGTACTGATCTCTTTTGATCTTGTTTTTACTAAAAATTGGAACAGTAATTTGGGAAGTTTTTCCCGTTAACTAAATATTTCATGATGAATACAAAACACGTTAGTCACCAAAGGAGTAGGCCTTTATTTCCTTCTAATTTTTAACCATGGAAACGTACTTATCTGCAGAAGGAAAAAGAGAGATTTCATATTATTTTGTGTAGTGTGTAGAATAATTAGTATCGTATACATAGTACGTAAAAGCTGTGCAATTTAATATAGTTATCGAAGATTTCTTTAACTGTGGGCCGGGCGTGACCTACTGGTTAGGATGCCCGGCCTGTAAATTCTAGGGTTCGTATTCGCGATCCGTTGCTGCAAAAACGTAAGTTCAATACTTTAGGACAGTAGGAAAATTACGAGTGACGGTTAAATACTACTATTTGGTCAGACAATAATAACCCAAGAATTGATGATAGGTGCTGTATACTAACTCCGTTCCCTTTAGTCTATTAGCTAAAAATTAGGGATAGTTATGTGCAAATAGAACTTGAGTAGCTTTGCGCGAAAACCAAAACAAACAGTCACTTTACTTTACTTGCACTGGCAACTCCTCTCGGCTAAAAGGAATTATTTAATTTAATAATTAATAGTCAAGAGACAAAAATATTTAATAAAAGCGATAACACAAAACTACACATACTAAATTTTAGCCTAAATTACATTTCACATCTCTCTTACAGGATTACAATCAGTAAAGTTGTTATTGTTTCTTTTAGGGCAAAGCTACAGAACTGACTGTCCGCGCGCTGTCCACCGCGGAGAATCGAACCCCAAATTTTAGCGTTTTAGATTCTTAAACTTACCGCTTACCATCGGGAGACTTTTCTGTAAAGAGAAACGTTTTAACAATATACTATAATAACAAACTGTTCCTTTGGTTCTGCCACCAGGTTGCTCAGCATAAGTCTGTGGGCTTATAACGCTTAAAAATCGGGTTTCGATATCCATAGTGGACAGAGTACAGCTATTTCATTGTGTAGCTTTGCGCTTAACAACAAACCTGTGATTCTTATTATATGTAACCAATCATCAGTTACGGATGAAGCCACATGAAACACAGATTCGTGTTTTCTTTGACCTTATACATCTCACGAAAAATGTCTATTTGACGTTTTCACCCCCCCCCCTCCAAAAAAAAAAAGAAGAAAGAAAAAGCTTAACTTAAGAATCACAAGATGTCAGGACAACATAGAATTACCACATAGCTCTATATTGACAAAAGTCGTTGACCTTCACTACCACTTCAATATTTAAAATAAAGAACCTACTTTCTTCTTGTGTTGATTTCTTACTCAAAATAAAAAATCATCGAAATTCATGAATGACTATTCGCAATGTGAAGGCACCATAAACATATAGACAACCAGTACAGTTAAGTGTATATCTACTGGCTTATTTCAATATGTCATTTTGATCTCCAATCAGGGTTGACGTTTATGATTTCCTTTCTTTTGTTTTATTTCCGAGAGGATAACACTACAAATATTCTTACAATTCTTTTTTTATTACATGCACTCAATTCACAACAATATGTTTTGCCAGTTCTGTGGTTCTGTTGTACTATGAGCTTTCAATAACAGTTTTGCAGAAGGTTGAGTACGTGATTTTAGAACGACTTTGAATATATAAATCATCAAGGCACGAAACAGCTACAGCCGATACAAAGTCGCTGTGGAACACAAAATATTAGAACTACATTTTAACGTTCTTTGGCGTAACGTAGATAGTGTGATGATATTCAAAACTAATCACTTTTGGGGATGCTATATAACAGCCGTTTCTGGCACAAAATATTCATACACTTGGATCATAAAGATGTGATAAGATCGGAAATGTCACTTTACTTAATGGAACTGGGAAACAAGGGAATATGGATAGATTTGGGGCACCAGAACCACCCAGGATGAGACCTTCAACAAGTCATACCTCAGCCGAGTTAAGTAAATTGCGACGTTTTGTAAGAGGCGCGAATTCATGAACACAAGTATCAGTGACAAAAGCCATCCACATGTCTCAGGAACAGTACTTAATATAATCAAAAAAGGATATCTGTCTGAAAACGAGGTCAACAGAGCATGGGTTTACCATGACAGTCATGTGCTCCGTTTAACCATCGCATACCTGAAGCAGTTAGAAATGAAATAGATATTCATGTTATTCCATAAGCAGACATATATCTCGGTCAAATAAACATACTCGGCGTTTAACGATTTCTATGCGATCGGACTTTCGAAATGCTGAGAAACTGTCCTCGTACATTAGACAACTTATAGAAGCATGGAAAGAGGAAAGGCGTGTTTTGGACATGACAGTTTTATGCCAAAGCTTTTTCAATGGAAATTAAACTACAAAGCTAATGCCATGACACACGGTCGTTAAATACAACATGATCAGATGTAGCAACATGTAGTGAAACGACGTGGCGAGGCTCTAAGATCGTTTTAATATTACATACTTATCTTCTGTATATAAAAATTTAATCAAAAACGTGTGAAAAAACGTGCGGCCAAAAAAAGGATTGAGCATGCAACTTAAAAAAATGAAATCAAAATTGGCAGCCAAACTTATAGCTACATTCATAGCACTGATAAGAATTTTACAGCAAATATTCATTCATTAGTTAGCTAGGCCGCGTTTTTTGTTCAACTTGGGATATGATGGTGGATGAAACAAAATACGAAGCCTAGCATTTTATATAATAAAAAACCTGAACACTTTGCTTAAGGAATGAATAAATTGCTCATAATGCCCATTTATTATCTTTACAAAACTATCAATGTATCCGAAGATACGCTTAGAAGACTATCCATAAATGATAAATTTCATTGCGCTTTATAATTAATACGTTATGATGTTACATTTAATTTAGATTATAATTTCATATCACGCTCAATTCACTGTTTGTAAATCTATCTAAAATTCCGTTTTATACTTTTATTTTAAAAGTCTGGAATATATAATGAAATATTGCATTGTAGCCTCACAGTCATTGTCTAAAAAACTGGTTAAATTTTGTTTTTTGGTGAAAAAATAACACATTGAACCTAATAACTGCGTGTACCAAGTTCCCAACCTTCCAATTACCGACTGAAAATTGGTTTAAGTTTTGTTTTTTACGCATATTAAAATGTTTAAAGAAAGGAAGTAATTATGTACTAATTTCTCCGCCATCAACTTGAAGTTAGTTCCCGTGTTTTCTATTAATTAAGTAAAAACAAAACTAGATGTCAAGCCATAGTTATGATCTCGCAAGAAATTGTAATTTAGATTTTATAAAACAGCTTAAGCTGCAGCTCTCAACCAAAGTCCTCAGATATTAATATTTTAATCAAATGGATATAATTTCAGGATTCATATTTTAATTAACAAAAGTCATGAAACTAGAATTTTCTAAATTTTCCTGGGCGAAAAAACCAACTATTAAGCCTCGGACATCTGGACATTCGTGCATAAGTGATCAAGTCACTTTATAGCTTTGGTAGTTATCAAGTATAACTTTTAAAGAATGTGCTGATTTATTATGAAAGTGAAACAAAATTTCGTATTTTAAATGTACAACTGGATTTGCCTTGCCCTTTCGAGATCACAATTCTTCTTTACCTTATACACATTTATTTTAACAGTGGAATACTGTAGATTGTTTTGAGTCAAGAAAAAGACTTAGCCATAATTACCACTAAAGACTAATGTTCAGGTAAACATTTCTTACTCAAACAGGCCAAATAAAACTTTTCCATACGGTTCATATGAAGGGATACAGATATCAAGATTGACACATGTAGCTTTTCCAGGCCTGTGAAAGTG